TAAGGTAAGTGTAGACTGTAAGTATTGTGCGGCGAGGGTTCTCTAATTCGAGGTGTAGGTAATTAAGTATTCGCGAAAACATAGACGACGACGCGAAAAGTAAAAAGAAATGAAACACGAGGAGAAGAAAATCTACGACGCGGTAACAGATTTACGACGCGAAAAAATTCTACGACGCGATAAAAAATCTACGACGCGAAAAATATATCTTGAAAGGTTTTTGGTAACAGGAACCCTCTCGGACAGAAAAGAAAAACGTGTTTTGTCTTTTATTTTTACGTGTTCAAACCAAAATTTTATGTTGTCTTCACAGGTACGACTAAGATCGCCGGACTCACGGAGGACGACTATCTTCCACGGAACAAAATTTATGTTGTCTTTATTATATCTTCACAGGTAGGACGAGAATTACCGGACTGACAGAAGACCTGTCTCTTATACACATCTAGATGTGTATAAGAGACAGGAAACATGTAAATATAATAAGAATATTAAATCATCGTTTGCTGTCTCTTATACACATCTAGATGTGTAGGGATCTCGTATATAGGGCCTAAGGTGTGGAACAACATATCAAGCAATGTAAGAGCATGTGCTAATATTTCACTATTTAAGAACAAAATGAATAATATTTATCATGAAAGTTATAAGATGAAACGGTATCACTGCCAGGACGGGAACAATTGTATTATTTGTAAAGAAATTCGTCAATAATATTCAATGATGTTTAAGTGCAATTTATATGTTGCTTTATTGCTGCTATTTAATTTAATTATTTATATAATTTTACAGTGTTTAAATTGCTATCTAAGAAGGATATATTATTTATATTTTATCATTATTATTATTATTATTATTATTATTATTATTTAATATTTATTTTATTTTATTTTTCTTTTCTTTGCTATTATTCTTATTCTTATTATTATTATTATTATTATTATTATTATTATTATTATTATTATTATTGTCTTGATCTATGATGTGAAAGTGCTTTAATTAAAATGTATACCTTGACTTACTTTGTCAATTTGAAATAGTATCTTAATTACTTTTTTTCGGGCGCCACTATTGTAAAGCTCTGCTTGTTTGTGGTTGCCCTTTCCAATTCCATTTTTATATATCTGTACTGTTTATCTATGCTTTGAAAAGATTTGGAATAAATTTATTTTGAATTGAATTGAATTGAGTGTTCATTGAAAGAATCTTGTGTTTTTGAGAATATTTTCCTAATATTGGGTGATCATTTTAAATTTTCACGTTATTTCGTTGGTACATTAGTTTATCGCTTTGCTATTTGTGGCAATGACTACCTCGAAAGATGTAGCGGAAGCTCTAAATAGAGCCTTACTGCTAGGCCTAGGAGTTTCTAATGAAGATGAAACTGTCCTGAGAAACATGGTCGCGGAATACTTTTCCCCTGACAATCCCGAGGAGGAGATGAGTGATTTGGAAGACACTGACGATGAAGAAGAGGGGTCAGAAGAAGAAATAGAAGTAGGCCCGGGCATAGACCGAGATCATGATTTTCATGAAGACGTCAGTTTTGACGATCCAGCTATTGTTATCGACCCAGCAAAAGAAGTTGCTCAAAGGTAGGTTTGTTTTCATGTTTAGTTTTTCAATCCATGCTATTTTATTTTTATTTACTCAGCATGCTAGCTACATGCTAGTCTTAGGCCTAGGGTAGGTAATAATATTAAAATATTTATGGCAAATTTCAGTGTATTTTGTAAACACTAACATATTTAAAATTTATTTTTATATTGTTGTAGGATTGCAGATGATGAAAAAGAAGACTAGGGTGGTAAACAAAATGCTGATGAGTTTGATGCTGTTGCAAATTATAATCATTGTCAATGTGGTGAATCTTCCTGCCTTAGTAACTTTGATGCCAAGTTCATCCTCAACAGAAGATCAGAAATGGACGAGTTGACAAAGGGAGAGAAAAAGATGTTTTTGCCAGGACTTATAAGTCATTCGTTAAACTGCTCCTCCACAACTGAATGCTCAAAACGCTCAACACAAAAACAACGCACCCGATCAAGGACCGTTTACAGAGTAGAAGGCAAACATTTATGCAGAAATGGATTTATGTTTATGCATCGGTATGTCCATTTTTGTATACTGTATTTTTAATCTTTTTTTTTCTTTACAACAAACAATTAAGTTATCTTAGCTGTATCAAATATTTTCATTATTTAATTTTTTCTTCTTTAGCATAAGCAACAACTATCTAAACCTACTGACCAAACATTATAAATCGAATGGTGTATGTCTCCCAAAACCAAAGACTGGCGGCCGTAGATTTAACAAGACTGCATTGTCTACAGAGGATATAACTCGAATTGTAACGTTTATTACAAGTTATGGTGAGTTACATGGCCTCCCTCTACCTGGACGTCAAAGCAGAGTGAACACCAATGATCCACGAACACGTTTGCTGCCGTCATCTAAAAACAAATCCACAGTTTTCAGAAAGTATGAAAAAGAAATGGAAGAAGTGAATCGGCGAAAAACAGCTGCTGGTAAGTAAATATTTGTTGTTAATTAATTTCTTAGCAAAATATGTTATAAAAAAAATTTCACTTAGGACAGCAGAAAACAAAAAAAAAACTATTGAATATACAGTGTGGCACGTAAACACTGGCTTTAAAATAATGGTCCATTATCGCAAACCGGAATGTAGCATTTTTTAAATAATGATTGATAATATACCTGATGTTCTGTTTCTTTCACATAATTTTATTCTACATATTTTTCAGGACAACCCTTGCTGAGAATTGCCAGGAGGTCAACATTCAATAAACTTTGGCTTACGTATGCCCCTGTCTCTTATACACATCAGATGTGTATAAGAGACAGCTACTATGACGCACTTCGATATACTACGCATGCTCAGTTTCAATGATTTTGCTTCTCGCGCATGCTCAATTTCAATGTTTGGCTTCTCGCGCATGCTCTGTTCCATTGTTTACGCGTTTCGTTCCATGCGGAATTCCATTGCGAATTGCAGTTCGGAGTGTGTTCATTGAAAGAATCTTGTGTTTTTGAGAATATTTTCCTAATATTGGGTGATCATTTTAAATTTTCACGTTATTTCGTTGGTACATTAGTTTATCGCTTTGCTATTTGTGGCAATGACTACCTCGAAAGATGTAGCGGAAGCTCTAAATAGAGCCTTACTGCTAGGCCTAGGAGTTTCTAATGAAGATGAAACTGTCCTGAGAAACATGGTCGCGGAATACTTTTCCCCTGACAATCCCGAGGAGGAGATGAGTGATTTGGAAGACACTGACGATGAAGAAGAGGGGTCAGAAGAAGAAATAGAAGTAGGCCCGAGCATAGACCGAGATCATGATTTTCATGAAGACGTCAGTTTTGACGATCCAGCTATTGTTGT